GCCTGGCACACTGGGTGCGCGGAGCCGAGCGCGGGTTTGTTATTGTAGGGTGCACGGAGCTGGTTTGTTATCGTAGGGTGCGCGGAGCGGGCGCTGGTTTGTTATTGTAGGCTGCATGGAGCTGGTTTGTTATTGTAGGGTGCACGGAGCTGGGCACTGGTTTGTTATTGTAGGGGTGCGTGGACCCGGTTTGTTATTGTAGGGTGCGTGGAGCCGGGCACTGGTTTGTTATCATAGGGTGCACAGAGCTGGTTTGTTATCGTAGGGTGCACAGAGCCGGGTGCTGGTTTGTTATTGTAGGGTGCGCGGAGCCAGGCACTGGTTTGTTATTGTAGGGTGCGTGGAGCTGGGCGCTGGTTTGTTATCGTAGGGTGCACGGAGCTGGTTTGTTGTTGTAGGGTGCGCGGAACCGGGCGCTGGTTTGTTATTGTAGGGGTGCGGGGAGCTGGTTTGTTATTGTAGGGTGCGCGGAGCCGGGCGCTGGTTTGTTATTGTAGGGTGCACGGAGCTGGTTTGTTATTGTAGGGTGCGCGGAGCCGGGCGCTGGTTTGTTATTGTAGGGTGCGCGGAGCTGGTTTGTTATTGTAGGGTGCATGGAGCTGGGCTCTGGTTTATTGTAGGGTGCGCAGACCCCTATAGTGTTTCGTTAGCATAGGATCAATTATGAACACGGCAGCTGCATTCACCCGTATGTTAATAGAGGGTCACGCAGGGGCTCCATGTGCTGGTTTGTTATTGTAGGGTCTCTAGGTGCTTTGGGGGCTGAGCCACCCAGCATAGCAGGACCCAGGAGGGCAAGGGGCCGGCTCAGCCCCTCTTGGGGTGCCCTGTATCAATTGCAGGAGACGCACGAGGAACGAAGCTGCTCATTCCCACCTTCCGCTGCTCCCAGCATGCCACTGGGCACGGCCCCCGCACCCTGCCTCCCTTTGCTGCTCCAGAGCCCCGCCCGGACCCCGGGGCACTCAGCCGCCGGCAGATCCCTGCCCCCCCCCCCCCAAACGCCCTGCGGCTGCTGCCGGAGCAAGGCCTCCTGCCCTGCAGGGCTCCACCAGGTGCGAAACGTCGAACCGGCTGAGACGCGCCGGCCCCGGGAGCAGATGCAGTGGGAGATTCCAAGGCCGGAAGGGACGTTGTGATCAGCTCCTCTGACCTGCTGCATGGCCCCCGCAGATCATTCCTAGAGCAGACCCTGGCTAAATGCTCCCACCCCCACGTCATGGCTAATTATAACGCCGGGGGCCAATTTCCCCCCTTTGCCCCCTTACTTCCAATCTCCCCACTTGTCGCGGGGAAGGATAAATGGGCCGGTGTTTTATTTCCGGCTCCCATTACAGGGCTCTGGTTCTTACTCGGAGAAAGGGAGGAGACGGCCAGACGAGAGGAATAAAATATTCAACTTTCAAGCCCCGGATCTTGTGATTATCGTTAATCGGATGAGGGTCGTGCACACTGAGAACACGGGCCCCGTCGCACCGGGCACCACTGGGTGCTCGTGGTGCCAGGTGCTGCCCAGACCCACTGGGGGAGATCGGCTGCACACACATGGCGAGAGACAGCCCCTACCCTGAAAGCTCCCAGTCTACTAGCCACAGGAGGGATTATTGTCCCTCTTTTACAGATGGGGAAACTGAGGCCTGCAGAGATGCATGGATGTGCCCAAGCTCCCGCAGGGAGAGCCAAGGGATGGAAAGGCAGTGCCCCCCCCCGCTCTCTTCCAGCCCGCTGATGCCTCGGCCAGTGGAGGCCCAGGAAGGGCCATAAGCCACTGGCGGGAACCCATTTGCCTGAAGCCATCAAGACTTCAGCTCCCTGGGGAGCTGGAGGCCAGTGGTGAATCCCAAGAGGCCCTACGCCAGCCCAGGCCAAGCTTGGTCCGCTCCTTCCGCCCAGGGTCCCAGCCAGCTCCAGATGGGCACCCGACCCCCTCCATGCCCTCAACGAGGTGCAGCCACACAGCCCCTCACCGTGGGAGAGGATGGGGAGCTACCAGCATTGTGCAGATGGGGAAACTGAGTCACAGAGCAGGGAAAGGTCACAAATCCAGGCTTAGAACCCAGGAGTCCGCACTCCAGCCCCTCCCCCCCCAGCTAGGGTTCCAGCCCAGCTGAGCGATGCCTCATTGGCAAAAGGCCAGGATCCCGCTGCTGCAGCTGCCCTGTTCTCTACTCTTGGCGCTGCGGCACTGGGAAACTACAATGCCCAGCATGCACCACTATGTCGGTAGCCAAGCATAAACAGTGGGGGGGAGCAATGCATGCTGGGAGCTGTAGTCTCAGCAGGCTGCACCTTGGTGTTAGAAATTGGGACATGGGTGAGGAGGGCGTTGGTCCAGGCCTTGCCCCCTGGGGAGCGGGTTGGGGTGGGGAGAGGCAGGCCAGGGGATGCTGGGCTGGGGTGAAGCCAGGGATGGGGGGGACACAAAGACAGGGAGGGGGAACAGGCCTTGCGATCAGCAACCACCACATTGAGACACCAGCGTGGGCGCGGGTCTATCAATCTCCCTTCCGCAGCGAGTCAAGCGAGTGTTAATCACTCCGGTTGCTCCTAAGCCAGGCAGGGATGGCTCAGCAGTCGGGAGGGGGGGGACACAGGCTGCGCTGGGGGGGCTGCCTGTCCATCAGGGAACAGACACCGAGATGGCACCTTCTGCTGAGACGCTCTGTATGCAACATTCAGGGGGAGGCAAAATCCCATGGGGGGCGTGTGCTTGCGAGGCGGGCACGGCCCTGGCATGCAGGACTCCTAGGTTCTATGCCCAGCTCTGCCACCCAGTGAGCAGGGCGAGTCACTTGCCTGCTCCGTGCCTCGGTTTCCCCTCCAAATCTTTGTCTGTCTTGGGCCTCAGTTCTCCCTTTGTAAGCGGGTGAGAATGATCCTTGAGGAGCTCTCTGGGGGAGGGACGGGCTCTCACGCGGTCTCTGCAGCGCGCGGGACGACGGGGGCGCCCCCGGAGCTGGGTTGTGGTCTGTGCACACCATAGTGGGATACACCTAGTTAACCACAACCGATTTCCTCCACCCAGCCTCTGCCCGCTGGGCCAGATCCAGGCTGGCCCTTAAAGCCCCAGAAGGTTCCCCTCGCTGGCACCAGCCGACAGCCCCGGGTACCCGCTCAGGCTGCAGGGAGCCGGCTCCAGGAGGCCTCCGCCCAAGGGGGAGGCGCTGGGGCAACAGGGGGAAATGAGCTGAGATTGAAGAGGGTATCCCAGCCCGGCTCCTGCTCCTTCCCATCTCTGCCCCGTATTCACCCCCCACCCACACATCTCTCTGCATGAACCAGGGCACACCAAAGCTACCCCCATATCCCCCGCTCCAATGAGCAGGCAGCAGCCGGTGACTGTCGCAGGAAGCAGGCTAGGAACAGGAGGGGTGTGGGTGGATGGGGGGGGGAGAATGGGCTCCAGGGAAGCTCTGAAAACACCCCCCCTTCACCAATCTGGGCTCACAGCTTCATTAACCCCTTGGGAGCTGCTAGATCCCAGCAGCCCCAGGCCACCGAGACTCGGGTCACTGGAAGAACAGACCCAGACCAGCCCCACGCTGGGCTCCCCCCACCCAAGCTCTGCTAGTGCCCCTCACTCCTGACCTGCAGAGCCCTGCCGCTAACCCAGCCCTGGGCTCCCCCAGCCCCCCAGCTTCGCTGGTGCCCCTCAAGCCCGACATGGAGCCCCCTCTATCCCAGCCCTGCCCCCCAGCTCTGCCGGTGCCCCTCACTCCTGACCTGATCCCCCCCCCCATCTGCCTCTCACCATCCAGTCCCAGAGCAGCAGGGACTGGCTGGCCCAGGGGGGTGGGGAATGGGATCCCGGCTCCAATCTGACCCCAGGGGCGGGATCTCCAGGGGGACGGGCCGGCTCAGCAGAGAGGCTGGGGACTGCATGAGCCATGGAGACGGGGTGTCCCATTGGGGGATCCCTCCGGGCAGGGCTGGGGCACATTGTCATTGCCTGAACCCCTGCCCCCACGTGTTGCTGCGGGGGGGGGGGGGGACATTGCAGCACCGGGCCGTGCGCTGTGCATGCCAGTCAGAGCCAGGGAGACCCCCGGGGACACCGGACAGAGCCCCAAGCACAGTGCCCCACGCAGTGCCATGGAACCCCCCCGCCCCCCGCCATGCCACGGGGAAACCGCCCAGCTCCACACAGTGCGCGACGTGCCCCCATGCTCAGCCGGGGGGGCTCCTGCTGCGCCCAGCCGCGGGGGGGGGGGGGGGCAGGCAGGCCCCCGGAGATCCCAAGCAGCCCCCTGGAGACCCCCCCTGGAGACCCCAGGCAGCCCGCCGGAGATCCCAAGCAGCCCCCTGGAGACCCCCCATAGAGAGCCCAGGCAGCCCCCCGGAGATCCCAAGCAGCAGCTGTCAGAGCCACAAAGGACCCCGGGGCGCCAGGCGACACCCCAGGGCGCTACGGAGAGCCACCGAAAGCCAGCCGGTGTCCCCTGTCGCAGCCCCGCTCCACCCAACATGGTCTGGGAAACAGCCCTGGCTTCCCGGGGGTCCTCAGGGACGGCGCCAGCCGTTCTGCTCCGGAGCCTCCCCCTTCTCCCGGAGCCGGGGAGAGAACCCAGGAGTCCTGGCACCAAACACCAGACCACGCTGCCGCTCCCTTCCCTCTCCACGCCCCGAGGCGGCGCCTCCCCCTTTGCCCCCATCCCTCCCGCGGCAGGACACAGACCGCAGCAGGGACTTTGGGGGAGGCTCTGGGGGGGTGGCACTGACCCGGGAGGGGGACTGAGCCCCCTGCAAGTCCAAAGCTGGAGCCTGCCCCCCCCCGCCCCGCCTCAAAGGGGGGATGGGAAGACCCACCGCCCACCGCCCAGGCCGAGAGCTGCAGCGGGCAGCCCGGGGGCCACGCCCCAGAGAGCCCGGCGCCCCCAGCGCCGCCCGGGCACAGCTCGCCCCAGAGCTGGGCTGGCGAAGCTGGAGCGGGGACCAGGGGCTCCGGGGCCGCGCCAGCCCCCCCCGGGCGCCAGTGCCCCCCATGCCCGGGCCCCCCTCACCTCTCGTCGGCCTGCCAGTCCCCCAGCAGCAGGTCCCGGAAGCGGTAGCGAGGGGGCAGGGGCAGCACCTCCTTCTCCAGCTCCACCATGTTGGCTCTCGACGCCGCCGACGCTCAGCCTCGCCCGGGCGGCTCGCGGGTGCGGGGAGCCGCTCGCCAGGGCGGCCCGCTACGGCCGGAGCCCACGGGCATGGCGGGGCGGCGCGGGCATCCGGGAGCGGCTCTCTGCCCCCCGCTGCCGGGGCTGTGGAAGGAAGCGAGCGGCTGGTGCCATCAGCCTCGCCTTGCCAGGGACTGGGGCCCCCGCCTTGGCGCCCCCGCTAGCCCATGGCCCGGCCCCCGGGGGGCGAGCGGCCCCTGCCAGGCGGGCTCGGGGCTCCGGAGGCGGCGGAGCGAGGGGAGGCAGCCGCTGAGCGCGCCTCGGTCTCCGGCAGGGATGTGGGGGGCGGTTTCCAGCAGGAGGGGCCGCCCCGATCCGCCCCTCGCCTGGGGGCTGCTGCCCTGTCCCCTCCCTGGGCCACCTGCGGCCGCGGCGCTTCCTTAACCCCTCGG